CCTGTGTCAGTGTGTGTGTGTGTGTGTGTGTGCGCTCACCATAGTGAGTACTCCCAATAGGCCAATAGGGATGGGGTCCTGTTTGACCCTCTCTGCCACTAGATCAACTAGCAGCATCAGCATGTTGTAGATGCCCTCATGGATCTCTGTGCCCCACTTATGCACTGCACTTGACATCAACAACTAGAGAGGAAGGAACAGCAAGCATGAGAGAGAAAGGGAAAAACAGGCAGAGCAAAATGAAACCTAAAGGCTGTTTCACTGGATGTTAATTATCATCTTTTCCTGACATATTGAACACACCTTTTTGAAGGCCTCGGGCATGCATCTGTCCATGAATCTCTTACAGTTCTCATCTGCATCAGCCAGGCCTGCCGACACAAAGAGAAAGAGATTAGATCACACGTTGCTTCCTCTGACACACCCTCATACACCCTCACACACACACTCATCCTCGTCATACCCATTCTGGCGAGGCTGGTGGAGGCGATGAGACACTTCCCGAGTGACTCCTCTCTCTTGTATGGGATTGACCAGTGGTCAGTGAACACCCTGCTCTCCAGCTCGTACAGGTTGGTGGTGGGAAACTCCATATTGCCCCCTGAACAGTTCCCATTCTCATCATTAGCCCTCTGAGACACACACACAGAGCAAGAGAGAAAGAGCAAGGTTATATTTAAATCATATAGGCCCAAATGATCAATTATGGGAAATTTACAAATAAGGAATTTCATCAGTTATGAATCTTTGATAATGCCATCTTGTTTTTACACTGCAGTCACATATTTCTGTTTTTTTTTTTTTGCTGATAGTTGTTAGCAAATTGGTAATATCTATAACATGAATAATAAATATGAATAATGAATAAACTATAAAGAATTAATGATAAAGAACATATATTTTTATTTAATCATATTTTTAATTAATTTACAAATTCTGTGAGAACAGTTTGCTCTTCTGCTAATCAGCAAACTGCCTAATAGCTAATGTTACCAAATTATAAACAGGGACTTATCATAGCTAGCTAGAGAACATATCCATAAACATTTAGGAGTGAACTGCCAGTATGAAAATTTCAATAACAGAACGTTAACAGCCATCAACTATTCCTGGATAAACAGGAAATGTTCACTTGTGTAACCCCAAACCCCAGATATGATTCTAGCCTTTTATATAGAAAGCAAACCATGTTTGTGTGTGTGTTTGTGTGTGTGTAAATGACATGGCTGTATTTGTGTGGCACTCTGGGCAGGAACATGGCTTGTGTGCACACAGCTGTTGCTCCAGATCAGAACTTGCTGACTCCACGGCATTGCTACTCATGAAAAACACAACACTGTGTGAGCTTCCTACACGTCCAGCGCAGTAAAATGGCACTAAGGGTGCTTTTACACATGCAGCGTTTAATCCATTTGAATCGAATCCTGGTCTCGGAGCACGTCCATGCGAACTCTGCCGTGGTTCAACTGCAGTGAGAAAGCGATTTGATCCCCAATCAAACATAACATGGTGTATAACATGGCAGGCAGCATTTTTTTTTTTTTTTTGTGGATGTGAGCTGTTAAACTGAGCATGAGGCAAAAACTGAGCCAAATGCCATCCACAGAAATGCCATGTGCTCTGGATATTTGGAACAAAAAGAGAAAATAAACAGTGAACGCACACACAAATGCACTACTCTTTTACATAATTATTTAGTCATTTATCTAGCACTGTGTTCCCCATGCTCAGGTGAATTGTATTGTTATTTCTATGTTCATGTGTCAAAAGTTTGTTCACCATTGTTCTGACCAGTGATTAAAAGTTGTACGAGTACGGTTTCATCCAGCCCCTTAACTGTCTTCCATTTTGCTTTTTTTTTTCTTTTTGGTTTGTTTAATTATGTACAGTGTGAAACCAAACCAAACTAATCAGCAAACCTTTCCTTTAATTTGGCAAATGGACTAACTGATGTAAAAGCGCACTTACTGATCATGTGTGTTAAGATTTTAATGATGGGGTTAATAAGGATTTCTTAAACAAGTGTTAATACCTAGATAGCTCTGAATGCCTTTCATTTTGCAAATTCACTTCAGTTTTCATTTCATTTCACCTTTCATTGTCTCTCAGGACAAAAAACTAAAGAACTTTCCTTGTACTTTTCTCCTAGGTATGCTCAGAATGGTCATATAAGTGTGAATGAAGGCCACAGACTGAGTGCTGAGTAGAGATTTACACCTCAATCTCACTGGAGGTGACGCGCAATACTCTTTTATGAAACAGAAGACATGGCTCTTTATGTGAACAAGGAGAGTTCAGATAAAACTGCAGTTATAGAGTCGATTCATTCTCTTCAGTGAGCTGAGAACAACTGACCAATTATGAATTTCCTGTATGTGGAAAACAGCTGCTTGCACATCTGCTCTCTGCAGGACTGGTGTCATGTCTGTGTGTGTGTATACCTACAAATACACTGAAAAATTACAACCAAGTTTCCTCAGTTAAACCGACATTTAAAGAACTGGGCATGAAAGACAGAAGGTTTGACAGGAATTGAGCGAGAAAAGCTAAAAGAATTCAAGGAAATTTCACCAATATTTGTGTGAGGGGTGACAAAGCTCTGAGCTGCTCTGAGGAACTATGCTGAATTATCTCAAATAACATCACTGGCCGCTATTTTGGAGAGATAAAGTTAGCTATTCAAAGGTCATGTTTCATAGTTCAGCAGGTCTGTTCATGCTGAGCTTACTCCAACGTATTAGTTGTTCTCACTGCAAAATTAAACAGCAGTAGTCTAAAATACTCACTACTGTCATGTAAGAGGAAATGATATGCTTGTAAAATGTTTTATGGCTAGATTTAGATCTTTCATGTAGTTGAGACTGAACACACGTAATGACACCTGGGGTGGAAAAAAAGGCTTAAATACTGTTGATACTGTATTTTTGTTATTCCTGTGAGAAGTTAGTGATAGGGTGCTACAGGGGAGACATTCTTAGTGAAGGAGATAAATATTCAACAATCTCAAATAGGGCTGAAATCGAAATTATTGAAATATCACAAATGTAAATATGGTGATATGCATTTCGCAAGGGCTTGCGATAACTGAATGATTTTAATACTTCAAAAAGTTATGGATTGTAAAAAGTTTTAGGGCAACGCAGATAGCAGAGAATGCTTTCTTTTCCTCAAAAGGGCATGAAACATGTATGTTGGTTATGTCATTTTCAGTTTTTAAACATAAAAAAAAAAAATATATATATATATATATATATATATATATACACATATATAAATATAAATATAACTTAAATTGATTTTACACACTTATAGCATTATTGTACCGCATATCGCATTATTTAACATTTATCGCATTTTTCTTCAATATCGTACAGCCCTAATCTCAAACATTAAAGGACAAAACAGCAAGAGATGTCTTTCTGATTCCTCATTTTCCAGCAACCTCATGGTCACATTAATGAGAAATCCAGTGTAGAATTAGGGGAGATAACAGAAGTGTAGTAAGCCTTAACAATAACCTCAGACGATGCTCAATTAATTGATCAGTTAAATATATTCAGTTAAATATTCAATGCCCTGCCAATAAACACAGTCATCAATTTGTTTCCCAAAATCCAGCAACACTGCCTAAGCCAAAATAATTGCAGGAAACCTGAAATAACTTTCTTTTTTCCCCTGCTTAATTCAGATTAACATTAATTAAGTGAACATGTCTTAGCACAGTCTTCAGAACCATGCAGATCCTTACATAACTGCAGGCAAATACCTTCCGTCAGTCATGATCTAAATAATCATGCTTCTCGGACATCACTGAGGCTTTTAGGGGAAAAAATGCAACCGTGGTAGAAGTGAAATGAAACCAAAAGTGTACCTTGTCAAGCAAGTTTGACAAACAATATTTACCAAATAGCACTAAGTCCATGAAAAATGCAAAAAGACTACTAAACAAACTCAGTAGCCAACTGCACATGGTTAGATCCATGTCTGTAAAGCAATGTTAATAAAAATAAAAAAAAAATGTCAGGGCTTATGATTATGAAAAGCCTATAAAAGAAAGTCATCGTTTTTAACCTTGTGATCACTAGCAAGCAAGGAGGGATCAGTTTTAACTGTGGTTACGTCTGACTACAAAAACAGGGAAGAGAAAAGTAACAAACGCTGTTTCAACCCACACAGATATCCAGGAGCCTAGCAAGCTTTACTGTGTCTAAACAAACCTACAACACACCCACAGAATACAAACTAGGTGCAACATCAGTGCCTTGTCACCTTCAGGTGTGGTTGTGTGGCTGGTTTTATGAAAGACAAGCAGAACTCGAAGCTAATGGCATTGACAGGAAATGACTCCGCCACCTACTAGTCTAGTCCTTCTGGTTCATAATTTGGATGCATCAAATACCTTTAACATATACTTCAAACAGGAAGAATGTTATGGAATAAAAAAAATCTTTCAAACATTTGACCTTGCTGTGACCTTGACCCTGTTTGGAGGGATTCCCAAATCTAATCAGTTCATCTGATGGTTAAAATGACAAATCCATATAAATCCTTCTTGAGATATCATGCTAATGAGAATCTCGGACAGATGGACTGACAGCCCAAAAACATAATGCCTTCAACACCTAGCTGTGGAGGCATAATAAGTGCCTATAGGCCTGGTAGATGTTTAAAAACGTACGTACAAGAGCATAACATACATATACAACTGCTACAATGCTTACAAATAAAAAAAAATTCAAAAGTTCTCTAACTGCACTGCTGCATTCAATTTAATATATTTAATTACAGCTCAATATTAGCATTTTTATGGTTAATGCCTTCACTGCTCTCTAGCACTGCCACCTCACAGGGTCCCCGGTTCGATCCTGAGCTCAGGTTACTCTCTGTGTAGAGTCCTGCATGTTCTCCCAGTGTGCTTGTGGGTTTCCTCCCGGTTCTCCGGTTTCCTCCAACCTCCAGTAGGTGGACTGGCTACTCTACCTCGCTTGCTTGTGGGGGAGGGCAGTGGCAGCTCAGTGGTTAAGACATTGGACTTTTGCTCAGAAAGCCATGAGTTCAAATCCCAGCACCACCGCCAAGCTGCCACTGCTGGGCCCTTGTGCAAGGCCCTTAACCTCACTTGCTCAGGTGTACAAATGAGATAAATATGAGTAGCTCTGGATAATGCCGTAAATGTAAATGTCACACCCAGTGTTCCAGGGATAGGCTCCGTATCCACTGATGACCCTGACGAGGATGAAGCAGGTACAGAAGATGAATAAATGAATGTGCTCTACTGCAAGACATGGCAAGAACAATTATTAACTCCATAGCCCAAAATATTCTTCTACAGAAAGGGCCATTTAAATTCCAGCTCACATTCGTGGAATAAAGCAGCATGAATTTACATGCTTAAGTCCTTAAAATGATAATGACTTATGGTCTATATTTGTCCCTTGTTAGTTATGCATTGACTCAACAGTGTGGGATGGCGGCATGTCAGCCCCCAGCAGAGCTTTGTCTCAACTTGTCTCTCTCAGGAGATTGAACTGTGAGCTGCTGAACTCTGATCAAAGATAACACACTGCTCTCAGGTCCGTCCTGTCAGTTTACACTAACGCAGTATAAGGACAGCGTAAACACATGCCTAAGTTTTCCAACAGGTCTAACATTCTAAACTGGTTGTCTTTGTGCTTGATAAATAATATAATATAATATAATATAATATAATATAATATAATATAATCACATGCATTACACATACATCACAACCTTAATATTCTGTTTTCCGTTTCACAAAATTAAACATTGCAAGGGGTTTGCGATATGACAAAAATATTATATCACGATACTTTTGTGCGATAAAAGATCACAACATACAATTTAAATAGCGAACTGGCAGCAAAATGGAAGTGCTGTGTTGAAGGTACATTAGTTAAGATTTGAACAAGTTAAACAAGATTTTAATGATTTTTTTACTCATTGATCCCATCCCCATTTCCACCCATGTACACAAAGCTCCGCCCCCAAAACATATGGTAGTTCAACTAGAGTTAGCATTAGTAAGGACTGTCATGACATCACTTTTCAAGCACACTCAGACATTTAACTGCTCGAAAGCCAAGTTACAACTCTATAAACATGCAACTTCGGGGCGTTGGGTGTGTGCCTATAAAATGACTGACAAGAAGCCAATCCAAACATAAACAAACTTTCCAGACCGGAGCAGGCAGGTTTCCAAACTGAGAGTTTTTTTTTTTTCCAGCTACGCAATACACATTGTTCTGAGACAATGTTTTTTTTTTTTTTTTTAATCATTTCTATATAATTTTCCACATTATTTGTATTGCAGGGTGTCCCTAAAGTCTCCATACATAGGGGAAATTAACAGCATTTAGCAAAATGTTTTCCAAAATGTTTCATACTTGTATATATATATATATATATATATATATATATATATTTTTTTTTTTCAGATGGCATTTAAGGACGCCTTTGACAAAACAAGAACATACTGAAATCATTCTCATGGCTGCATGGCTGGATCAGGAAGCTGTCGCAAGGTTGTGATGGACTTTAACAGGAAACATGGCAAGAACATCACACAACACTGTTGCCAAACTGGGAGCCAAAGTCGGGAGAGACGACTCCGTGTGTGAAAGAAATGGCAATCATGTAGAGGATGTTTTGTAAATAAAGTTACATTTTGCTAGAAAGTGTTACCGTATGGAGACTTCTGGGACATTCTGTAGTAAGAAATGAAAAATACTGACTATTACACTCTGTAAAAATGTAATAACTTAGGACAAGCTAGTTAGCGAGTTAAGCACCTAAATACAGACTAAAGGAAACTGATACGTGCTTTCACTTGCATTCGCAATAAAAAGTCACCAAGTGGTTGCTGTAACTGTAGTGCATGATAGTTGTTACGAATCCCAGAGTCGAATGAGTTTTACTCAGCAGACTGACTGACAAGACTGGGCAAAATAAAGTTTGGAGCAAAGCTGTCATAATACTGTCCTGCTTACTACACACAGTCACACTGCGTGAGGAAAGAAGAGGAAGTCGCTAGCTAAACCAGAACAGCCATAACAACCACCACGACAACCACCCCAACAATCACAATGACCACAACAGCCATAACAACCACCACGACAACCACCCCAACAATCACAACGACCACAACAGCCATAACAACCACCTCGACAACAACCCCAACAATCACAATGACCACAACAGCCATAACAACCACCACCACCACCACCACTGCAACAATTACAACCACCACAACCACCACCACCACAACAACCACAGCAACTACCACAAAGACCACCACAACAACCACAGGTACTACCACAACTACAACATGCTTAATTTTGTGTAGTTACTGATCACAGCAAGGGGAGCATGAAAATAAATAGCCTTGAGCGCTAATCTAAGCGTTAGAAACATAAAGTTGCATAACCCATAAACCTGCTTCCAGCAGCTTAAAAAAATTGCTTAGTCAGTTTCTGCGATGAGAACATATCAGAATTCTGCAACATTATATTGCTGACATTCTGCAGAACAAACACCAGTCAACTGATATGGCCTTGTAGCTGGCGTGTGCCTGAGAGGACTGAAAACTCCTGCGTTTGCTGCTAGGAAGCTGCCGGGACGTCGCATGCTACATGCGCACACTCTGGCTGGCCCTCGCTGCTCCTGCACCCTGACACACTGCATTACATAAGTATTCATCCCCTGCTTGAACTTTCCCACATGTTGTAATGTTACAACCTTGAACTGAAATGGACTTAATTAGGATTACATTTGGGTCATAAGTTTACATACACCTTGCAGACTCTGCAAAATGTTAATACTTAATAAATAATAGGGATCATAAAAACTGCATTTTGTTTTTTATTTAGTCCTGCCGTGAATAAGCTATTTCACATAGCAGGTGTTTACATATAGTCCACAAGACACAATAATAACTGAATTTACACAAATGGACCAGTTCAAAAGTCTACATAGGCTTGATTCTTAATACTGTGTGTTTGTTTCTTGATGATCAACGACTGTTTTTATGTTTTGTGATTGTTGTTCATGAGTCACTTGTTTGTCCTGAGCAGTTAAACTGCCCACTGTTCTTCAGAAAAATCCTCCAGGTCCTGCACATTCTTTGCTTTTCCAGCATCTTCGGCATATTTGACCACTTTCCAACAGTGGCTATATGATGTTGAGATCCATCTTTTCACACTGAGGACATCTGAGGGACACGACTATTACAAAAGGTGAAAACATTCACTGATGCTCAATAAGGCAACACGATACATTAAGAGCCAGGGGGGTGTAAACTTTCGACCAGGATGATTGGTGTAAATTGTTATTATTTTGTTTAAAGATCTTATTTTTTCCATTTAGTACTGCCCTTCAGAAGCTACGTAAGATATTTGCATGTTTCCCAGAAGACAAAATAATAAATTTATTACTTATTAAATAGTGTAAACTTGTGACCTCAACTGATCTCATAAATCGACATAAAATATAATCCCAACTAAGTCCATTTCAGTTCAAGGTTGTAACATAACAGCATGTGGACAAGTTCAAGGGAGTGTATACTTATGCATGGCACTGCTCATGGTTCAGCTTCTGGCCTCTGTAGGCTGATGACAGAACACTCTCTTAACTTTGAGTCTTTTTACCCTTGTCTTTTTTTCCATTTAGACCTCAAATCAAGTCTTCTGTGGTATGAAAATGAGAGTTATGCCACAAATGTTGTCTCATGAGCTGGAACTAATGACTTCTGCATCATGAATAACTTCCAGAAGCATGGAGTGGTGAAAGCATTCTCTTCCTAGATCCCCTTCAAATCAACATGGAATCAAAATGGAAAATTATATGTGCTAGTACTCCTTTTTGGCATGTTATAATGGTTGTGTTACTGGTTTTAGCAAACCTTTGAGTAATTTGAATTTGGAGCCCTGCAGGGAATAAGACACTAAATTATTAATGAACTAATGGAATGTACTGTATGATACTTTAATAAAGATGAAAGTATTAAGAAGACACCATGTAACTGATCATTCGCAAAATTCTATCCAACTATTTTAAAATACTCAAACGTCCTTTATTTTCGGTATCGAGTGGCATCAGTCACTCCATGATTTCTTCGACCAAAAGTCAAACCCCGAGTCAATGTTATTAATGTTCTTTGGCCAGTGGCTGGAGGTGTACACTTTTCTGACCACAAGCTTTCAAAGTCTTAAAGGCTACAATATGACTGGCTCTTTACACATCCGTGTATACACACACTTGAGTCTTTAAAAGTTATTCCAGGGTAGAAGGTCAAAAAAATAAAATAAAAAAAAATCAAAAAAAAAATCGCAGGTTCATGGTAAATCTCTGTAAAAATTTCTCTCTTTACATCCTTAATTGTTCATCTTTCTTAGAAAGAGATTTTTGAGAATCACTTTTGCAGAAAATCTCTTACACTGTCTGTGTTGATTAAAGATTTTATTATAAGCTAAATGGGAATGTTGCTGCAAGGAAAGGCGGTGTGCTGAGCAAAAAAACAATAATTCAACTCAACTAGAGTGGCAGTGTGCGGTGATGCTCAGCCAAAAGTAGATAATTATTTGGTTTAGTTTTGGACAGCAATGTCATGTTCTTCTGTGCGATTGATTAAGTTACGACTATGCTAGGAGTTGCAGCAGAGGTAACAAAGTTTACGGCAGTAGCAGGTAGTAGAGAGTAGACGAAAATGCATTTTAATCTGTATTGTGAAAAAGTCAATGATGAGTTGAGTCCAGTCATATGCTGCATTCGACTGGAGGTCGTAACTTGTAATTCCCAACCTCCGGCTAGGAAAACCCTAAGAAAACGCCTCCTCAACTCGGAATTCCTACTCAGGAACTTGGGATAATCTTCTCAACTCTGTATTCCTCCAGGCCTTTCTGCATGCATGCGCTCACAGTCACTGTGATTGACAGGGGAGAGACAGTGAGACATCCCTCCCTGAGAGCACGGCCAATTTTTACTCTCATGGACTTCGGGACACAGGTGGCTGTGGCGTCGTCGGGATTCGAACCTGGCAACACTGGCGACAAGGCGGTGTTT